AAAAAAGAATTTGAATACATTTGCGAAGTGAAGGGATTATTATTACTTGTAGTTTCAAATGATTAAAGTGGTATCTGAGGAGTTGCTTGCAAGGTAGGAAAAATAAAGAATGGAGAAGTGACTTATTTTTGCTGTTTTCAAGCCTATATGGATGTGTTGAAATTGCACACTGCCAAAGCAAATAATTAACCTTTAATTTCCATGCTTGTTATTAGTTCCTTGACCTTGACTTTGATTTACTTTTAAGGATTGTGTACATCAATGGCAGAATCCTCCAGTGATTCAGACTGCTTCCGCCATCAAGACCAGTTGAGTCGATGGTGTATAAGGCCAACTCACAGGGGAACGAGAAATCACTCCACAGCAGATGTAACCGAGAAGGTCAACACTATCACAAGTACTTTACAGGTTAGTTTAGCAATGATTGAATGCAACCAATTATATATAATTTAACTGAAGAACATTGCCAATCCATGTGTTCATTTTCTCATGCTACCAAGACCAAAGTTACAACAAATTTAGTGTTTGAAAGCAACACATGTTTATTAACTTATGGGACTGTTGGTCAGAAATCCCTCACAAATTTAACTGAACTATGGCCTCATATTTAAAAAGGCTTTTGGCCACCATTCTGGGCCTATTTCTAGGTTGGATTCTGAGAAGGTGTGTTTTCTGGTTTGGAGTTGAAACTAGGGTGTGGCTCTTGCCTGCCGCAGGGTGTGAACTGATTGGATTTGGCCTTGTATTTAAAAAGGCTTTTGGGTCCTCAGGCCTTGTTTTTGTGGATCTCCTGAATAAAACAAGCTGGGAAGCAGGAGTGGTGTCCACTTCCAAAACAGCTTGCCTGTGAACTATGGAACTCTATGAACTTGGAGAAAAGATGAAAGTTTGGTGGTCAAGACTTTCATTCATAGTGTCTCTATGCGTCGTCTATGATTCTATGGCACTTGACAACAGCAACACATATTAAAGCATTGGCAGGCTGCATTCTTTCCTGAAGGTTCTAGGAGATACTCTGCTGTCTTGGTTTTTTGGCTTCTGCAGACTGTCCAAATACCTCACCTGTCCTCACCTTCCAGCTTTAAAGAAACTATAGTAGATTGAGTACATCCTGCCAGTGTAACTTCTTTAGCATCTTCTCCTTTAAAGAACATCTGTGATTACATTGCCCATTTATAATCTAGGATAATCCAGGATAATCTCCTTAAATTTAATCACATCTTCAAACTCCATTCTGTGTAAGGTCAAGTATTTACAGGTTCCTTTAAATAAAGTAATAAGAACAATGTAACTCAACATACTTCCCTCTTAGAGGTTAAAATGAGATCCAAATTAAGAATTAAAAACCACAATAATTCTTCCAAGTACCCAAGACACTAGTACTCTCATTTTTTTTCTCTCCTGATTTTATTTTTAACTTCTTTATCTGTATCTTTTAAGATGCTGCATAACTCAAATGGAGTAAGAATGAAATTTAAAAGTATAATTAACATGAGCATTGTATTTATAACCATTCAAGTAATAAGAACAATGTATATTTCAGATTTATTCATGATCTATGCAATTTTATTTGAATTTTATTATTATGTTTCAGTGACCAGCTTTAAAAATGTACAGAGAGGTAGAAGGAAATGATAATAATTTTGAAAATAACCATATAAAATTTATTTATTTTTCCTTCAGAGTAGGGAATATCCCCAATGATGGGCTTGCATATTTTAAAAGGGTTAAACAGACTGAAAATTTACTTGATACACAGGGGACCACGCGGCAGTCAGACTTTTCTGTCATCGTTGTTATGTGCCACAACTCATAGTAACCCTGTGAACAACAGATCTGAACCTTGTTCTCTTCTGTACCGTCAGCCCGTTGTTACTGACACTGTCACTCTATCTTGTTGATGGTTTTCCTCTTTTTATATAATCCTCTACGTCTCCCATCATGATGTCTTTATCCAAGGATTGGCCTTGGCTGACCAAGTGTCTGAAGTATGTGAGACTTGTGTTGAAGGAACATCTTGGTTGCCCTTCCGCCAGGACAGACTTGTTGGTTCTTTTGGCAGTCTAAGGGATAGTAAGTACTCATCTCCAACATCTTTGGTACAAATTTATCATGGAGGCAAGGATTCTGAAGCTCCGTCTGACATACTTTGGACATGTTGCAAAGAGGGATCAGTCCTTGGGGAGGGACGTGTTGCTTGGGAGGCTGGAGGGACAGACAGCACAGGAGAGGAAGACCCTCAATGAGATGGATTGATTCAGTGACTGGGGTGATTTGTGTGGGTGTGTCAGAGACAGTGAGATTGACACAGGACAGAACAGGGCTTAGGGCTAGTGTACGTAGGGTTATTATGAATCACAGGTGACTAGACGGTACATAACAACAAACAACACTTTATATCCTGGATTATTCCCTTTCTGCTGTCGAGCTCTTGAATTTCAGTAGACTCTAATCTGTTAAAACTGGTTGGCAGACCATTGAAAATTGTTCTTATTTTTAGATGTCATTGAGTCAACTACCATTCATGCGACCCTGTGAATAACAGATATGGACTTTGCCCTGTCCTATACCATCCTCATCATCTCTGATCTACTTGAGCCCACTGTTACAGTCACTGTGTCAGTCTGTTTTGTTGGAGCTCTTCCCATTTGCTGACCCCTCACTTTTCCCAACATGATATTTTTCTCCGAGAACTGTCTCCTCCTCATAACATGCCCAAGAGAGATGAGGTGAAGTTTCACCACTCTTGCCTTTATGGAGGACTCTGGATGCACTTCTTCTAAGACATACTTATTTGTTCTTTTCGCGGTCCATGGCATATTCAGTATCCTTCTCCCGCACCACAATTCAAAGGCATCGGTTCTTCTGCTAACTTTCTCCATTGTCCAACTTTGGGATGCATAGGAAGTGACAGAAAATACCATGGTTTGCAGCAAGTGCACCTACGTCTCTAATCTGACATCCTTGCTCATTAGCACTTTGGGAAGGACCTTAACACTTGAATCTACCAATGCAATAGGTCTTTTAATTTCTTGACTGATATTACTCTGGGTTTTGATTGTGAATTCAATTAAAATGTAATCATTGCCAACTCCAAGCTTTTCTCTATCTATCATAATGTTGACTATTGGTTCAGTGGTGAAGACTTTTGTTTTCTTGATGTTGAGGTGTAGGAGATATGCAAGACAATAGTCTTTTAATCTTCATCAGTGAATACTTCAAGTCCTCTTCACTTTTTTGTGAGTAGGATTGTTTCAAACTACTGGCTCGTTTTCATGACTGTATAGTGTATTAATTTTCTATGATTGCTGTAACAAGTTACTATAAACTGAGACATCTTGGAGTCAGGGAGCAAGTCTGCTGACCCAGAGGTTTAACCTCTCTGGAGTCTGAATCTCCCAGTGGCTCTGTGAGAAAAAGATGTGCACTTTACAGTCTCTGAAAAGCTGCTGGCGTGTCAGTTATGAGTTGGTTCCAACAATGAGAATTTTTATGAGTTTGAATTCTGTGTGTTAGAAGTATGATATCAGTGATGCTGACTAAAATAAAGATGCTGACAAGACCACATCTCCTTCGAAGGCTTTAGAGGGAAAACTATTTTACTTCTTTTTCCAGTTTCTAGAGGCTTCCACATTCTTTGTCTTATGGCCCCATTCCTTCATCTTCAAAGCCAGGGGAGATCGATAGAGTCCTTGTTGCATCTCATTGCTCTGGCTTTCTCTTTTGCCTTATTCTTCTGCTTTCAAGGACTTTTGAAACTACATTGGTCCACATGGATAATTCCAGGATAAACTCTCTATTTCCAGTCCTTCTTTTGGTGACCATATAAAAAAGTCTTTTTTTGCCATGTAAGTGACCTTCACAGATTGAACAGATGTATTTTGAGGCCATTATTTTGCACACTCTGCATTCAAATATCATAAATATTGTATAGGACCAGATGACATCTCACTCTTTTGTGTAATGTGTTGTGAGTTGAAGTTGTTCAATGGGTAACAGGTAACAATAACAGTGTCCTGCTTGCCATGCTCAGTAAAGACATTTAAAATATATGTTGGTTTGTGTGAGAGTGTTTGAGATAAAGTGTTACTTTCAAAGAAAGTACCATGGCAGTGAAACCAACAGGAAGTCACCATAGCTTAGCTTCTACTGAACATGCATGTTCAGTGAAGCCTTGAGTTGGTAGGTAGGCTCACCTTTTTAGTGTTCAGGTGTTCGAATGATGGCAGACTGCCATATCCTTTGTGCAGAAGGACACAGGAAAGGGAGGTCAGGGAAAGGGTGACAGGGTCACATTGAAAAAAAAGAAAATTTCAAAGTATTTCTCCCCCTTCTCATTAATCTTTCACTTTTTGCCTTATCCTAGATACATATGAGTTTTGACTTTTAATTGCTTTCTGTTAGGATACTTAGATAAGAAACAGCCCATTCAAACGGTGAAACCATAATTAGCTTGAAAAAAAAAATCAGAAGGCTTTCTCTTTTTAAACTTATTTAAGTAACAAAATGCTGGTTTTTAGAGTATACATCTTTGTATATGTCCATGAATGAGTCAGGTTAGGAAGTATATATGTTTTTGAAAAAGAAAAAAAAAAAGCCACCATTGATTTTTTTTTTTTTTAGTTTAAGCCCAGGATAAGTAAAATGTAATCAGAACCTTTTTTTCCTCTGTCTTGATTACAACTGAATTTATTATTGATAGATAAATGTTAAAGGCTGTTCTTTTTTTCTTTTTTGCTGTTCTAGTCAAATTCTGAGGTGAAGTAATAATTGAAATAACATCAGTCTTAGTGATTTGCTGCTCATACACAATTTGCAATTTACTGTTTCCAAAATCTCTTACTGTGAAGAGGATGCAAATTTGTTGAGGTGCATACATTTATAATGATTCTGTTCAGTGTATGATTTTGTTGCCCAGAGATTCTGACACTTTGGATAATTATTTAAATTAAGTGCTTTTGATTTCACACAAATAAATAGGAAATGGATTTCATTTGTTTGTTCAGTGTTGATAAAATGTAATAGTTGTTGAAGGACCTTGATATCTAACTCAACTGTGTTATAAATTGTGTTTTTTTATGAGCAGTTGACTTAGCTCCTTGACATGGTAAAAGATTAATTGAAAACATTGACTTTTTATCTTTAGGACACCAGCCGGAACCTGCGGCAAGTGGATCAGATGCTTGGACACTATCGAGAGTACAGTAATGAACAGGCGGGGGCTATAGAACATGTGAGAACATTTTTATATTTACATTTCCCCTTATATCTTTTTTTTCTGAAAGTGCAGGATTTGGGGAATGATAGATTTACTGAAGGAGATAACTCTTGCAAACATCTTCGGTTTTAATGTTGGTCTTATTTTGTAGTTTAAATTTAGATTACCTTTAGATGGTCAGAAGATGGGTTGCCTTGGGAAAATCTGCTCTTGGGACCTTCCCAAGGTTTTAAGAAGCAATGATGTCAGTTTAAAGACTGAAGTATAATCTTCTGGTCTTTTGGATCACTTTCTATGCATCTGTATCATTGTGTAATGAATAAATGACAGAAAAATCAGTGCTTTGAATTGTGGTGTTGGAGAAGAATATTGAATATCCTATGGACTGTCAAAAGAATAAACAGATATGTCTTGGAGAAGGTGTAGCCAGAGTCTTCCTTAGATCAAGGATGGTGAAACTTCATCTCACATATTTTGGGCATGTCGTTAGGAGGTGACAGTCTCTGGAGAAAGACATCATGCTGGGAAAAGTTGAGCGCTGGGAGTGGTGAATGAAAGAGTGAAAGACCATCAATGAAATGAATAACACAGTGACTGTAACAATGTATCAGAGATGGAAAAATGGCAGGGAGCTCTGGTGGCCTAGTGGCAAGAAGCTGTGCTGCAATCCTGAAGGCCTGTGGTTCAAATCCACCAGATAATTTGCTGGAGAAGGAGGGACAATCTCCCAGTCAGATTGGATTTGACAGTATACAACAAGAAAAAAAAAAAGAATGATCCTCTGTTATCCTCAGAGATGGTAAAGATGGCACAGGATAGGGCAAAATCAGATCTGTTCTTCATAGGGCTGTTGTGAGTGGTAGTCAACTAAATGACCCCTACCAAATAACACTTCTTGATGATATGCCAACTAGCTTAAGCATACTAGATTCTATTAAATTTAAGAGCGATACAGCAGAAGGGAAAGAATGCAGGATATGTATGCATTAAATTGAGCCATGCTAAATTTGTACCAGAGATAACCCTTGTGAAAGGAGCAGATGCAGTGTGAAGGTGGCTGAGTCTGATTTCTACCTGCTTCATAAAGGGAAAACTCTCTCCATCACTAATATCCATAGCAACAACCAGATAGCTGCTTGGTCAGACATGCTACCCCCACTCCCCATGCTCTTGCACCTCTTTCTACCAGTCATTTGGGTCTGGTATTTGTTATTGACTCACAGACTTGACTCACAGTTGTGGAGTTTATTAGGAAAATAAATTGAAGATTAGGGGTGCCAAAGACTATCACCCAGTGCAAGTCTAGGCTGAGTCTAGGAGTCCCAAGCCAGATTAACAAGTCACCTCTCTCCAGTTTGTGAAAGGATGTTCAGTTCAGCAGCACAAATGGAAGAAGCTTCCTCAGTCATCCAGCAAACAGTATCTCCGAGTAGTTATAAAACAGCTTTTCCTCTCATCCTCCAGCAAGCAAAACCTTTTAACTATGGTGTTTATCTCAGAGGAGTTACAAATCAGCTTTTCCTCTGGATACATCTTGCCACAATTTCCTCACAGCAGTGCCACAGTTTCTTCACCATCTCTTCACCACTGTCATTGCTAGAGTACTTCACAATGTGGAAAGCTCTCTCTTTCTCTCTTTTTTTAAAACTTTGATTGCTTTTTCTTTTTCTTTCTTTTTTTTCTTTTTTTTTTTTGAAGCTCTCTTATATTGGTCTCATCGCTGTTGATGATTTGCAGGACCATATTCTGTAGTTAAGGTAGCTGGAGACCATGGCCTTTCCAACAGGGGCTATTGCAGGGGCTAGAAAAGCCAGTTTTTGGGGTTTCTGACACCATATCCCTCATGAAAAGTTAAGGGTTTTAAAGGTTACTTATTTTACAAGTAATAAAATTTGTTTTTAGTTCTGCTCCAGAAGGGAATACTTTACATGTTGTCACAAATGACGGCAAATACGTTTCTAAGCACGGTTGTCAATTTAAAAAGTGTGCAGCAACGTGTTAAGTCTCTTAAGCAATAGTCTCTTCACAATATTCTCTATATATGTATAAGCACATGCGTAATTTTAAAACAAAGTACTAAGCAAAAATATTATTGTATAGGCTTTTAACTAAATAATGTCTTATATCACTTTGTATGTGACTTTTTTTAGTGCTTGTTTATATTTTTTAATAATTACACAGTATTCCATAGGTTGATTGTGTCCTTTGCTTTTATTTGTTAATTTTTTTTTTCTATTATACAAAAACAATCTTTGCAATGACCGTTTGCAGTCTTCCTGGATGATACCCTTGATATCCTCCCACAACTCACCTGGCCTTCGTTCATTAGTGTTCAGAGCCTCAAATCTGTTCCTGAGATGGTTCTGAAATTCAGGTGGAATAGACTCAAAGTCATATTTTGGTTGCCTTGGATTTGGT